GAAGCGCTTTACTGTTTGAAGCGAGATCGGGTTGCCTTAGAACGCGTAGTTATAAAGCAAGATTCAGTAAAGAAGAAGAACAATGCACATGCTGCGGGAAAGATAAGGAAACGGCGGAGCATGTTCTGATTGAATGTGGAGATATCCACCCAGGTGTACTCCTGTATCCGTCAACTGAGCTCGTAATGGTTCTAAATTCTCTAAAGAATTACGCGGAAGTTTTCCTCGCAAGAGCGAGAAAGATGAATCAGCCACTGAAGGCTGCCGTTGACAACGCCGCGCAAATACTACAGAAACGTGACAAACTCAAGTGCTCGACCCCGGGACATCATAAAAAACTTTTGGAGGTTGTGCTCGTGAAGTTTCTCCGCCCACTTTTTCTGAACTTCGCGACGAGTGTGACTGACAAACACGACTTGGCAAAAGATTTTCATGTCAAACCATTGTCTCGAAAAGTGCTCAAGCTTTGAGCGCGAAATCAAATAACAAAGCTCACATTGCATTCTGCATACAGTGCTTGTGTTAAAAATTTGGTGTGTGCGCACTTCTTAACGTATATGCATAATCCAATGCAATGTAGACGGTTTCTAGACCGTCATAAACGCAAGCGTGCATAGGCCGCGTCGTCTGCTGTTATTATGGGATCGGTGCGGCATCTGGCGGCGAGCGCCAAAACTATAAGGGACGGATGGCGCGTATGTATTTAGCGCTAATGCGCGGGCACAAAAAAATATAGGAGGCTATGGCTCTACCATAGCCGCGCGGAAAAAAGGCGGACGTCACATCCTGCGCAGGTTACTGCGCTGAAAGAACGCCTCCTATACTTTGAGATGCCTGGCACGTCGGCCGCTATCCTATTGTTCACCCGCGGCCACCGTGTTTTACCGGACTGCCGCGAGGCGGCGCCAGCTACTGACACTACGCTTCGCCACAGAATGTCACTACGCTAATCGCTCTCGAGCTTCGCAGCGCTCATCTTTGTGAAAATTTTGTCCTTCAAGGTTTGTAGGGCTTAGCAGAGCGAAAATAAAGTCAAGAACGAAAATTCCACCTCTTCTGTCTTCCTAATAACGTGCTGTACTGTCTTAGCAAGCAATTCCCCGGAACACCCCTTCGTAAAAAAGTATCCCACTGGAATCTTGAAGCTTGCATGTAGTCCACACAGCAAGAAGCACAAGAGGGAATTTGCAAGCTGACCCTTATCAGATGCTAGCAAAAGATGATTGAGGTCGGCACTCAGGTCAATGTCTCCAAGAAATGCATCTCGTTGCTTGTGGTACTCAAGCTTCTGTCGAATGCGCATTTCATCTACCACGAGACTACATAGTTTTGATTGGGGTGTTGTGAGACATTCCAGCTCTGCACTAAGCCTTCTCTTGACAAGTTCACTAAATCCAACCTCTCCTGATGAACTTCCGAGGTATTTCCTCAGAGTATTTCTGCACGGAAAGGAGAGCAGCTTCTCAGTTCTCATATGTTCGTAAGATTTTGCTGAGAGGTGGCGCAAAATGGTACATTGCCCAATAGTTGTTTCTGACCATATAGGCTTCTTGGCCTTATAATTAATCACTTGGTCCAAAATAATTTTGGCCTTCGTGCACGCAAGCTCCGAGTCTCTGACGACGTTAAGAAATTTGCTGACGTGGCACTCCTCCTTCAATCGTTCGAGCTCCTTCTTGTATGCGTCAATCGTTGAACGCAACCTCTCATTCTGTGCCTTTAAGGCCTTTTCTTTCTCACGCCACTTTTTGCTCTGCAAGAAAGCCGCTGACGAACTTCGTTCATTAGTCTGCGTGCCAAATGACCTCATGGCGTATGCGGCCTGGCCGGCATGTAGCAGTCTATCTGCGCTATTTGGATCAGGCCTCTCATCGGAATATTCGCTGGCACGGGACGTGCAGCATTGTTGCATGAAGTCCTGAGAGCCGACGCTGCTGTTGTCACACACGGGCACGTCCACGAAATCAATGGACAACATTGAGTCCGACACATTCTGCTGCGTTGAACGAACACGAGTGAGGTTTTCAGACGCGCCATTGGAAGCTGATTTCGTCGGTGAACATTCGCGTTTCCTTTTTGCGATGGTTCTCTCACCTCGCGGCTTCGACGGTGCTGGCCTGAGGTAAGAAGGGTATTGTGGGAAAACACTGGGCACAGTACCTGGCTTCAGCATGCGTCTCTTGGTGTCTTCGCGAAAGTCCGCATCGAGAAAATGAAGGCTGCAGACAGCTGAGTAGTTGGATGTGGAATTTGGCTGCCAGTGCTTTCTTGATATAACTTTCAGCCATTGTTCCCGGAGTGTTGCATCTGCAGGTATCTCGTGGAACGAAACGCCAGGCTGCTCCTTGCGCTGGCTCGAGGTGCGGCACGCAGCAGTACCACATGGCTGGGCTTCAGCTGCGGTTATTAGATCGAGCTCCGAAGAGGCAATACGCGCGATAAAAAGTAGCACATGGCACCCTGAGAAAAAAATGACCAACAGCATTAGCGCTCACTCCGAACGGGCTACCGCGAAGACTGCGCGGGCGCTCGCCTGCCGGCAAGGCGCACGATAGTGTCAGAACACAGCGGCGCGGCGGTGGCGTGCGTAAACGGGAGAGGGTCGCGCCGACGCGCTAGGCATCTCAAAGTACTGGAGGCGTTGGCTGAGAATGCTGGAGCACAGGCGCTGCGCCGTGCTCTCTACCGAGCTGCAGAAATTAGGTGCCTACTTCCTCTTCTAACCACTGCCACTACCACCAAATGACTAGAATACATGACTTGACTAACTCTGCGTCATTTGCTGCGTTGGTCGGAAACGTGGCACTTCTTCTGAGCACGATATGTCACACAATACTTGCGGCATTGATAAATCTATGCACATTTTGTGCCTGCATCATGTATCCTTAATTACGTTTCCCCATTTGTGTTCCCGCAGATCTACCTGGTTCTCACTCGATCTCATATTCAGGTGTAATAGCAGAGGACGCACAAAAGGGATGTGGGACTTGACTTTGGCATGACGATAGTTATAGCGCGAGAACAAAACGACGACACAGAGACAAGAAGGACACGAAAGACACGAGCGCTATGGCATTACACTTTGCATTACACTTTGGCATTACAAAGGTGCCTCGAGTCTTTGCCACGTTAGATGAAGATCATGGGCTTCTCATCCCTGGAGTACGCCTGTCACTTCTTCCGAGATATCCAGTTCTCTTTGTGCAGTGCAGGTCTGCACTATAGAGGTCCTGGCCATAAACTCCTATGAACTATGGACCACTTCAAGAAACATTGTACCCACAAATATGAAGCTGGTACTCCTGCAGTACAATCAGGAAACCGGGGTAATATGTTGAACTTGATTTAAATTGCAGGCTTTCTAAGGGCTTCATAAAAACAGCAGTATTTTTATTCGCATTGCACTTATTACGGGACGTAGCGTGAGCTCCAACATTACATACGGTCATCAGCTACTACATATGGTGTATGTAGAATGCAAAGTCGGTGTATGTGCATACTGACAACGAATCCCATTCACACACCACCAATTAAAGTTGTTTCTACTGCCAAATGGTCTATAAGAGTTTCAAAAAAATTCTTTATAAGAATCCATACACGCATACTTGCATCAGCACCTACATATACATATAAGTAGAAATAGAGTCCATTCAGAATGAATCTATTACTTTCATAAGCAGACCAGGAACATAACTACCGAAGTTTCTGGTGGCATTAGAAGTTTACAACATATCAATTTTTGCAATTACTGGCAATGCAAAGCAGCAAATCTCACATAATGAACTAAATTTATTAAAACCAGGGGCAGGAAGGTTAGATGCTTCACTTTTGGTGCTTAGCTTCACCTAAGTCTGGGTTACATTATTTTAGGTTATGCTGCTCATAAGGTAATGTCAGAAGAATGTGTGACATATTACACCTCAAACATAATGCTGAAAGTGCAGCCAATAGATACTGACCACATACTAGGTTACATTCAGTGAATTTTCTATTGAGCTCCTTGATCATCAAGGTTGATCCTACATAAAACACCCGTGTAAAATGGAGAATACTATGTACAAAGGAGTACGCTTCATTCATCTGGTACCCACACCACACAGCCGTAATTCAGTGGCTTGAACAAATCCAAAGTAATGCTGCACATTTCATTTACACTAATTATAGCTGAACATCGAGCAAAGCTCCCACAAAACATTTCTCACTACTTTCTTCATTCGCATCCTGAAAAAAATGTTTTCACCTTGCTTTATTTGATAACTTATAATTCCCCAATTCCCAACAGTGATAACTTTACATCATCCCTTAAATTTTATCTTACACTGATCACAGCTGTAAAGTTAGAATAATGCAATGCCATGTCAGAAAATGTCATGAATAATTATATTCCAGGACCTCTCGGGAATAGAACCTCATTATCGGTGTGGTAGTCGTTACCAAGGTCAACTCAAAGCTTTGTTTGGCCATTTCAGACATCATTAAAGACCACTCAGTTTACATGCTAACTAGTGACTTTCTGCTTTGTTTAGTTGTGTGCATACTTATTTTTTATTGCCCTCAATAAAACTTTGTTCCAGAGGGTACAATAAAATGAAAATAAATTAACTGAAAATGTCTATATATTTTGCTATCGCAGTAAAAAAAAACAGTCACTTTGCTGCATAGAAACTTGGACAACATTGATGAATGCATAACACACACATGTATACTTTAACTTTTTAAGCTCTTTCTTTATCAAGTAAGGTTCACTACAAGTTCTTGCAAAAGAAAGAAAAACACCTACGTCTAGTAAAGTGAGTGTATGCATGAGACCACCATACAATGCAAAATACTTTAGCCCTATGGTGCCTTTTACTAAGCCATTTATCACTTTGATGCAAACATGCATGCCTAGATGAAATCAGAAGCCAGAACACTTCCAGGTTGAAATTCACTCTGGATTTTTTTTGTCGGAAATGGATAATTCCTTGCACAGGTTTAAAAGTTAAACCAATGAAGCAAAAGACAAATGATATGAATATTTAATAAAAAACATATATATAAAATTCATTGTACAATGCAGTATGTCCATCAAGAATTGCATAGCAATGCTTCCATTCCAACTTTTTGTGTTATAAATTACAGATGAGATTCTCCTAAACGTCCTCTGCTTTCACTATGATGTCTTCGGCACCTGGAACAGAGAAAAGGCACTCATCAATACGAAATCAGCAACTACTCCATTTTCTTACTTATTCATAGCACTTCTCTTTTTTTCTATAAAGAGCTGCCACAAACCTCAAAGAGAATCGTTATGTGATGTAAAATTTATTGAAGAAAAATTTAGTTTTGAGAAATCAAAAAGTTGCAGATTGTAATTGATATGACTGCTTCCCCAATTACAACCAAAGCATCAAGTTAAGCAGGGTTTGCCTTTGTCACTGCGCATTACATGAATTGCACCTTAACCTTCTACTAATCTCTATCGTAGTTGCTCACTGCCAAGAATACTAAATAATGACCGATTCTCTTCCAAAAAAAGTTTCACTACAGTGCACTAATGCTACGATGCAAAACACACGCTTTATAGTTGAAAAGCTTATTTCTCATGCGGTGAAGTATTTGTAAAGTAGAGAGGATGCAATCATGTGATGAAGCCTGTGTTTTCAATTATGCACACGTGACGAAAATAGAACCAATGCTTTAGAACTACCAAAGTAAGTAACCTAATTTTTCAATCCATTAAGCCACTTCTAACAATGTGCTGAATTTGTGTATATTCATTTTCAGAGATATGTAGCGAGAAGCAGAGAAGCGTGAAACACCTCACCACTTTATTGTACAGGCCCAAAGCTGAGTGGCGGTGGCTGCTGCGCGAAAGGCATATGCCAGTCAGATTAATAACTAGTTCTCGTGCCTGGCAATTCGTATGCAGGCAGCCGCTGCCGCTCTGCCTCTCACTACATACTAAAAAAACGATGACCTAATGCAGGGATGGGCAAATAGTAACCTTGAGGTTCGAAGTAAATAACAATTTGGTCGAACAATTTCAAACAGAATAGTTTGAGTAGTAAATATCCCACATTACTAAAGATAAATGAGCATATTTATCATGACCCAACTAATCTGTAAGATATTGTGCAGAAATAAAACTATGCATGTTAATGTCACATTTTTGGTTCGAAGAAGGAAAAAAAGTGATGCAATTGTCTGAAGCCATTTTGGAGCATGCTTCTAGAGTAGCCAAAAGAGCACATTATGTTACCTTACTACATTATTTCCCTGCATATTACAGTCGAACACCTTTATAAGAGACAGTGATGTAAGAGACTAGTGGGTATAGAAGACACCAGTGTGCCCACAGTAAAATATGGGTTGATAAAAAAATGCATACGAAGTACCCGGCTTATATGAGACACCTCATATAAAAGACAAGAACTGCTTTCTGCCGCGTGTCTCTCATAAAGGGGTTCAACCGTATAGCAGGAAAAACGGCTTTTTGAATAGCTAAAGACTCACTTCTTAGTGAGAAAATCGGATTAGTGATAACTAAATGGGCTAAATAGGGTGGATCTCGACAGCATTCCGTAAAATTACATGCACGTACAGTTCAGACCACTTGCGACGTAACCACTTCTATTGCAAGACCAGCCATAATGCGGTCTCATCTTACGCTATGTTTGGTGCGGAATAACAAAAATGTGGCAGGATATGCCTTTTGAAGCTGTTTCGCACGAGTGGCACAACTATCATAACACTGGTAGTAGTAGGATAATTTGTATAGCCATAGAGCGAAAGTTATAACTGGTAGAATATGTTACATTTTAAGGGTTACTATAGTTAGTGTGTATAGGCCTGTATAACATGCTTTATATTAAAGAAAAAATATTGAGCTGAAAGTAATATGTATTTATTCTTGAAGTGTGGCTTCTTGGCGATGTGAATTTCCCTCGGTTATTCGGTTTCATGGCATAGCACGGTCACACTGCAATGAAACTACCTTTATTTAGGGGGGGGGGGGGTATGTGTGCTAAAATATACTTCGAATACAAATATACATTGGCTCATTTCGAATACTTAGAAATTTTGCAGAATATAAATTTACACTGAAGCTAATTCAAATACTGTAATATTTGTTCTAATATTCAAAGTGTCTAAATATTCGCCTATCCCTATTTAAATGATAACAATGAGGTGATTTCTTTTTAGATGCAAGTATATTCCAAGGAAAACAGAATATGAGTATATTATTACACGCTTGGTCCAATGAAGAAAGTTGTGATAGTGTTATGTTTTCTCCCTCGCTTTGTGCAAGCTCAGATGCACGTGAATATGCAGACCCTTCACACAGGTTGCACAGAGACTGATCATTGACACAAACAGTCAGAAGTGATTTCCAATGACCTTACTCAAATCCATTGGACTGATCCTGTGACCGTTTGAGATCTGTGTCACTATGGCAGCTGCATACTTCTCCCTGGACAGCTCTGAAAGCTGAAACAGAAAAACACATCAATGCAGTAAAATACCATACACTACATTGACGCTGACATGTGGCAAATGTGTTACGTCATACAACTTGTAATATACTGCATAATCCTCGCACTTTTTTTTTTCATGGAAAACTGATGAACAAGAACATACAGTGGAAGAGCAATCAATCATAATCTCAGACTCCCAAGCAGTGTGGCAATTTGATATAAATAAATGCTTGCCCACAAAAACTTAAAGAGACACCATCCAATTTGGTGCCCCACACACGCTAGCCTATGAGGGAATAAGAACGGACGCTTTAGCTCAAGATTTGACAAACCAAGTGGAATTCCATTTATTGGTCCCACAGAACATTCGCGCTTAACAGCAGAGCACACTAGGCCACACGTTTGTAGGAAGTTCGAAGCAGTGGGAGGCACAACTTGCCAGGTGGAACCCGAAGGTGCAATCAGCGCTTCTGAGTCAAGTTAGGCGCGGCGCAAGCCTATGGGGCCCTGGACTTGGGGCTCCCGCCAACATGCTCCGGAGTAGCCCCTTCTCTACCCTTCCCCTCAAAACAAAGATTTGTTGTTCTTCTTCTACATACATAGTTCTAAAATGCACAATGTCAATGTTAATGCTATCAGCTTTGATGAAACAATCAGCATTAAGCAATTAATTATCATTTCTCTAATGATTGATTATTTCCCTCATTATTTATTTGTGCAAAATAGCCACAACTGTGGCTTATAATTGAACATGAACCAATTAGGTCAACAGCGTATACTCCTAAATCAGCCAATGTAACCCTGACGCCCACTAGATAAGTGGCATGACAGCCTGAAAAAAAAGAATCGATGCATTCCTTTTTTGTGCACAGACTTACCTCCATTGTATCCAGGGGATTGATGGTGATCCTACTTTGTGCAGTGAAATAATCCCCGTTTCCTATATGACCATTCTGTTGCAAATTGCTGTTATGATCACTTGCACCTAAAACGAAAAGAAATTGGTAGTGTTTCGTGAAGTGAGACAAATTATTCCCTTTTATCTTACATGGACTTTCTGGAAAACCTCATGGCATGCCACTATGCCACGCCTGACAGTCTGAGTGAGTTGGTTAAGAACAAAAAGAAACAATGCAAAAAAAGTGAAAGTACTCCCAGACCATAGGTCTCAGAATGATGACCGACACACCTGCGGCACATCATCACCTGAACTATGATGATGTGCCACGAAAAAATTCACTAACCCTGTTCGCATGCTTGCCGCTTGTGCCTGTGTCGCAGGATGAACAGGACGACAAACACTGCTACAACAAGCACCAGCACACCAGCGATTGCACCAAGGACAATATACAGCAGGTCTTTGTCCCCTGACCCGGAGGACTCCAGCAGGTCCGGCACAGGAGTCACCTTTTTTTCTCCCATAGAGGGCAGCGCTGTAAAGTGATAGCAGAAAACAAGACCCCACAAAATGACTAAGCACAAAATGCCAATTGTAGTCAAAAATCAAAAGAATGAGAAGACAGTGTGGGGCTGCTATGAAAAGGGATTCATACAAGAGACTAATAACCGGAGCAGTAAAGCTAAGACACGGGGCCGTGCTTGTTCTAAAGTATGTTAACAGTGAGAATTGCAGGTGTGATCCATGTCTATAAACGAGCATGGCTGGTGGAGAGTAGCTCATTCTGAGGACCACACTTCTGGCCACGATTTTGCTGTTACGATCACTAGTCACCATTGCTAACCTTTTTAAACTGCAGCTGTATCATAAGTTTATGAGATGGGCACAGAATCTAGAAGTACTCTGCAGAAAGCTGCATGCAGTCTGCTAGTTGGAGCACAGTATTGCTTGCCAGTACAATTCCTAGTGTAAAACAGGTTTGGACCTTTGCTTATGCAAAGAAATGTCACAGGTATCATGGCAATAGTCTAATAAACAGCAGCTATGCAAGTTAAATGAAATACCACATCAGTTTAGATTGGTATATACAAAATCTACATGCAGATAAATGAATCCACTGTAAGCGAAGTGAGTCAAGGTTGCTGATTCTGTGACATGTCCCACTAATGGCTGTACAAATGGTAGGCTTTCAACTGTAACATAACCCAAAATGAAAGTGTTGCAAAAAAATAATAAAAATGTAAAGTTGCATAAATGCTTAGTAGGAGTGTAACCTGCTTGGATCTGCCACAGCTCGCAAGTGGAATTCCGCTTTGAATGTCAAGCTTACCCCAGGAAAGCATTACAAACCAACTTCATTTAGAAACAAGAATATATTTGGCAATACATATAAAAATTATGCTGTTTGAAGACCCCTGAAGACGACACAACTATGCACAAAATTTCATGAAATGTTAGGGTACAGTAGAAATATGTATTACCAAGCGTTTTATGGGTGCATATGTTGGAAAATTCGCTGGCACCAGCCACGTTGAAGCACTGCATCTTGATGTCATAGGAAGTGTCAGGCAGCAAGTAACTGACGGTGTATGAGCGCGTGTTGGAACCAGCCACGGTGATCTTTAGGTAGTCACCAGCACTCTGTGTCAGCCTGTAGTAGATGTAAAAGCCTTCCACGTCCACGGCATCCATGTCTGAGTACTGTAAAATGAAGAAAATGAGAAATTCAAGAAAACTGAGGCCAAAGGAAGAGCAAAAGATTCACAAGTATGAAGCTTTTCATGCACAAAATTTGTGGGGGGGGGGGGGGGGGATTCGAGGCTGCTCGGCTCAGAACCAGGGAAGACGCAGAGGCAGACCAAGCACCTCCTTTATTGAACGGAACCCGGTTCGCAACTGCCCGCTGCCAGCCACTGCCACGTGCCACCATGCGCACACCCGATCGTCTTCTTCCGTTGGCAGGCTCGCAGCTGCCGTTCCCATACTGCCCCCTCCCCTTCGGCAAAAATGGAAAGGGGGACATTGTGGTAGCTGCTAGCCCTGCCCACAACGGGCCGCACGTGGCACACAAGACCACATGTCGACACAGTGGGACCACACACAGAGGCGAACTCCGCTGCCACCAGAAGACGGAGGGGCACCGGTCTCGCTCAAGTTAATGACCACGGTCGTCGGTGGCAGCATGACGGCAAGCCGATGAAGAGCTGGTGAAGATCCGGTCCTACCGAGCTAGTGGGCCCAAAGTAGTCAATGTAGACCTCCTCGCGCTGACATTGTTACACGGTGCCGTGGTTGTGGTAAACGTCTTGCTGTATCATTTTTTGCCATTGTAGTCGCCCGGACCTCTCATATCTGGATGGTGGCCACTGCTCCACGTAGTAGTTGTTGAACGCTGGCGAGCTCAGCAGCCGTGGAAGCGTTACGTCCCCACAGAGGCTCTGAATGCTAATGCCTCCGGCATTCATATTTCAACTTTCGCTGATGTTGATGCCAGATTGCCTTGCATCACCTTTCTCGACGTAGTTTCGGACCTCGAGGACAGCCACTTTGCGTTCTAGGGCACACACGACGGTGCAATCACTCGCGTTGACTGAAGGTTTCTTTTTTAACGTGTCCATCTTTTCTGTTGCTCTCTTCAAGGACTTCTGCAGCTGTGTCACCTCCTGTTCCAACTTGGTTTGTTTATCCATTTGCTGCTGCCTTGCCTCAAGCTGCTCCATCAGCTAGCTGTTCGTTCTCCATCTCAGCTGAGTCTACCACCTCTTTCCGCTTCACAAGCTTTTCTTTAATACTCTCTAGTGCATGCTCGCACCTCCTTAGGCGACGCAAGACCGAGCTGCATCTCTAGTTTGGAGACCCTTGCCGAGAAAGTCTTCCCGTCGACTTCGAGGTCCTTAATCCGCTCCTGGTTCTTATTGTACTTGGCCTCCTTTTTGCTCAGTTCCACAATTTGTGCCTGCGCTTGACTAGCATCTCGGTGACGGTCTTGCTGGGCCTGGGTGATCTGCGCACGGAGGTCAGCTGCTCGCATTCGTAGCTCACCCAGCTGAGATTCCTAGAATGCACATTGCTGCTGAAGCTTCTCTTCGTGACTGCACTGCATGTTTGCCAGCTCAGTGTCTCTCTCCAGAACTGCATTTCGAACTGGGCAGTCTGCTGTTGCCGATCCCTCAGGCACTGCTGGGGCATCGGCGAGCCCCTACTCCCAAGTGCGAACCGTCGTCTTTCAGGTCAGAAATGTGGTGGTCCTTTTCATCAATGATGCTGGTTGGCCTGGATTTGTAGACGTTGTGCGTGTGCTTGAGCCCGTCATGTTCATGAGTCAAGCGTCCCAACTCACACTCCAGCTGGCTGATGTGGGTAGCATGCTGGAAGGTAACCCGCTTTAGATGATCCACTTCAGCAGCAAGGGCAGCCTTGTCCCTCTTGAGGTCACGAACGCAAGCTCTCCTACCTTGTTGTAATACGTGACTGCCTCCGCATGTCCATATTTGCCGTCCGCGCTGCAGCCCGCTTCCTCCCAGCCTGCAACACCGTCTCTCTCTGCGCAATAGTCGCCCTCCCTGTGCTGCTCATCATCTGCCTCCAAATCAATGCGTCGTACGTCAAATTGTCTTTTTTCTTTTCTTCTTTTCCTCTTATTGTCAATGTCACCAATAGCGCCATCTGCCGCAGCTCCTTTTCAGCTTCTTCTCGGGCTGCAGCGCCGTCTCCACACAGGGCGTTCACCGCCAGCCGACCTCGGCGACGTCCCATGCACCCTGTTGACACCAACAGGCCTCTGCCTTGCCTCCATGAAGCTCACCTCCTTCATCCGCAAAGATGGGTATGGCTGGAGTAGATGACTTAGCACTTTGCTGAGCAATGCGAGGAAGTTCCTCAAGGGAAGGCAAGGAGCAACCCGTCAGGTACAGCTGGAAACGGGGGTGGTATTGCTGCATTACGTGGGGGACCTTAATGGCCTCAGGTGCAGTGGGGTCTGCCCGACTGAAGAGCTTCTGCATGGCCCAAACATAGTCTCGCAGACCCTCCTGTGGTTGTTGCGTTCGGGTGTCAAGCTCATGCCTGATACGGTATTCGTAAGCGACCGGTAGGAACTCCTCACGGAATGTCGCCACGAACTGGTTCCAGGACTGAAAGGGTGGTTGAAGCCGCCGCCATCGTTCTGCGGTACCACACAGAGCAACTGGGAGGACCCACCGGAGCATGTCGGTCTCCGAGAAGCCGCTAACGGTCGAGTACACGAAAAGATTGTCAATGAAGTCGAGGACCGATTCCATAGCGTCTTGACCGGAAAAACTGGGCACGGTCAGCGGCGGCGTCAGGGCCATATGGTCACAGACTGCCAGGTACCTCGAAGTCCGTGGCTTAGGGGCAGGGTTCTTCCCGTTGGGTGCCAAATGTAGGGGGGTGGGGGGTGTGTGAAGCTGCTCAGCCTGGAAGCCCGCAGGGAAGACGTGGAACCAGACCAGAGACCTTCTCTATTGACCGGAACCCGGGCCGCAACTGCCCGTAGCCAGTCCCTGCCACGTGCCACCCTGCGCACACTCCGATCGTTGTCTTCCTTTTCTATCTATCATTGGCAGCCTTGCGACTGCCGCTCCCATAAATTATGATCAATTGTTGTATGTATGAAGCAGTGCATTTCCAAATGCCAACAGGTGTATGAATATCAATGGAAGGGACGTTAAAGACAAATCTTAAGTCGATATTTATTGCTGAAATAGTGATATATAAACCTCGTAGTGCTACTTTTGTGCCAAGGAAATGCATATTTTGAAATAAAATCACCTTCCAGTGGTCCACATCGCGTTAGCACACTTCAAATTACCCGGCTCAAAATGGAGACTATCACGTCACTTGCTGTGCACAACTTTGCCTGATTTTACTGCTCAGCCGCCGACACTAGTGCCAGCAGAGTGAAAGTGGCGAGAGCCACAGCAGCAACAACGGCCATTGAATAATTTTCTGCCACGTCCTCCGAGATGGGAGACATGCTTGATGTAACTGTGTTCTGCTAGATGGCACAACCTTCCCAGTTTAACCATGCGAAAATTGAACTTTTGAACCACTCGCACCATTCCACATAGTATAATGTCCGGCCGTTCTTTTTTCCATGAACCAAACAGAAACGAACAGGCAGCAGTATATTATGTCTTTTGATGCACGGATGGTTCTTTATTACTGCAGCTAGTTTGATTAAAAGTGATTAATTGTAGGCGGTAAGTCTGACATCATCGGGACCATTTTACGAATGTCCTACTCATGGCGCATGTGTTCTCACAAGTTTACCTTAGTTGCTCGGTAAGTAGGGCACTGCTGTTGACAATGTTGTTTTTGTCATTGCCATACATTGAGCTTTCACCCTAACATAAATTTTTATCTGACTTTAGTGTCCCTTTAAAGTACATTAAGTCCTCGTTTCTGTTTCTGTTCAATAGACAACTGAACAGAAAAAGTGTTAGCTGCATGAGCCAGATATCTTACAAAATAACTTGGCTGTCATAAGGACCAAAAGAATGAGAAAGATGTGCTGAACATGCTTTCAGAAAGAGAAATGAACATGACTTGGAGGAATAAGAAAAAAAAAAAATGCAACCACTTACCTCCCAAAACAGAGTGATTGCCGTTGAGCTTTCAGCTTTGACACGGCGAATAATGGGTCCCTGCATGGGTTTCCTCTTAGGAGGATCTTTGTGCAGCAGAAACTTGATAGAGTTTGGCCCATTTTTGTTATCATTGTTGGAGTAAACGGCCACAATGCGAAACCTGTACCTTCCTCCTGCAATTTTTGACAAAACGAACCAGCCTCAAAAATAGAGCTAATGAAATGAACAGCAAGAGATTGATGTAGATGAGTGGCATAGCATGCAGGCTGGCACTGTGGATTTCATAAGTCTGGGGCTATGCTTCAGGATATATTCAATTTTCGCTTCATGTCCATCGTCTTAGTGAGTTTCCAACTAAGCAAGGTCCCAATGTTACTTGGTATGATGAATTGTGTGAGTAAGAAGAAGGTAATGCATACAGATCAAAGGCCTTATAACGGTAATGTCTGGTCACCTGCTTTGAGTCCCACAATAGCGTGGGAGTGGATGTGCGGGGGCACGTCCTCTTCAACTGTCTTCCAGTGCGAGTGTGGAGTTGACACATCTCGATATTGGACCTTGAAGAACGAGATGGGCAGACCATCGTTGTGCGGCACATTCCAACGAACCATAACTGAGTCATCGGAGAGGCGAGATATCTCGGGCCGGGAAGGCAGCACCAGCTTCACTGCAATTGAAAAGCAACACACGATTCCTTCATTGACTGTCACGTCAGTGCCTTGACAATAGAAACTGCCCAACTCGTTACCACTACTTATGTGCAATAAGGCCTCATATACATTATTGTAAACTTTGCAAAATGTACAAAAGTGTTCATCTTAAATGCAGAAAAAGGACAGGGATAAGCAAGGTGTCATTATGCTGTTGCTGCACTTACACAGGCAGAAAAGGCACACACAGAGGCACATAATTTGTTGCTAAATGAATACTAATTAAGATACAGCCATTCATCAATCTTAAGCGAGCATGTACTATCATAAGAAACTTGTGCTCTATTTTATAAGATGGTAGATAGATAGATATGTGACGTTTAATGTCCTGAAACCACCATTTGATTATGAGAGATGTCGTAGCAAAGGGCTCCAGAAATTTCCACCAGTTGGGGTTTTTAATGTGCACCCGAATCTGAGCACACGAGCCTACAGCATTTTTGCCTCTATCGGAAATGCAGCCGCCGCAGCCAGTATTCGATCCCGTGACCTGCGGGTCAGCAACCGAGTACCTTACCCACTAGACCACCGCGACGAGGGTATTTTATAAAATGAGACACTGCCATTGCTGAATGATAAATTATGCTAATTGTTAAACTGCATACCTGACCATTATGTGAAATAAGCAGGAATATTACACGATCTACAACTGCAGAGCAGTCTGGTCTGAGGCCCTTGACCCCACTTTGCAGCTTGTGTATAAATTTCACAAGTGAGTTATATAGCTATTTGTTTCTCTGTAGTTACGATACCATATACTGTCGGTTATGATACCATATACTGTCGGCTACTGCATCACTCACAAACCAGTCTACAAAATGACGTAAGGACTATCACATCGTAGCCAATCTTAACCTGATGGTAATAATCTAGTAAACACTTACTGGCTTTGAATGAAAATATTAGGCTTGTACGAATATTTTAATGCCTTGAATATTGGAACGAATATTACAGCATCCGAATTCCTTTTGATTCAAACTTAAAATTTAGAAAATTTAGAAGTACTGGAAATGGATGAATAGATGTACATTAATCTGCCTGTAAACCCTTGCAAAGGTGGTTTCACTGCAATAAAAGAGTGTTAAACCGTGAAAGCATCTATCCCAGTGTATATTAGTCCACATGCAACCCCCTGTGAAGGTGAAGGAAAGTGGAAATTTAAGGGTTCTTTGTTAAAGGTAATATTAATAAAAACTAATCTTTATATATATACATAATGATGTACGTGCCTGTGTACATATACATGTGTCTGTTCTCAATGTTATTTTCCTTGTAAAGGTGGTTTCACTGCAGCAAAACAGTGCTAAGCCGTGAAAACATATCCAAAAGAAATCTGCATTGCCGCAAAGGCCAAGTGAAGACAGTACCCTTACATCGATCCGTTTTATAAGGTTAAAAAGCTTGTTATACCTGTTTATACATTCTAGGTACAGTAAATCGTAAAATATAACATATTTTAAAGGTTGTCACTCGCACCCTACCGAAAGTCTTCATCGGGGGGGGGGGGGGGGGGGGGGGGACGAAAGAGAAAAGGGCATTTGCACATGCCTAGTTTCAAATTTCGGGAAATCTTGTGCAGGTTCGCTATGTCTTTAACAAATATGCCCATGTTTCTTTGTAATATGTGACATGTACTGCACGAATTTGATTCAAAGTTATTAGGCTATAGTAACGATTCGCTACGAATTCGCTTTGAACCTAAAGTTCACTATTCGCGCAAGCATAGCAAATATTGTGACGATAGTTGCCATACCTCCTTTATTCTTTTTTCTTTTGTGACTGTCCTTTCTCTTTCCAGCATTTTCTGTGGCACCATTGATGCTGTCTGGCTCATTCTCATCCTCGCCTAAAAAGAGGGAAGGTTGTGCATAGAAATTACTGGTAATGACATGACTATGCAGTGTTTACAGAAAGAAATGGAAAAATGACCAACCGTTTTTGTCAGGAATGTGAGACTCATTCACGGCGAGAACGGTGACGTGCGCTGTTGAGTAGACAGTGCCCAAAAAGTTGTTTGCGAAGCACTGGTACATGCCTCCCTGGTGCTTTGTCATCTTTCTAATATGGATCCCCATTTCTGGAGATCAGAAGAAGTAAACAAAAAGTGATATGTTCAATAGCAGCTTCAAGCATAACATTATAGTGCACCATACATCGAGCCACTGCAAGATTCTTTTTCTAAACACTATAGGCCCTGTTTCAGACTTCAGTCCTTTTAGGTATCTGTGCTGTTGCTACCTAATGAGGTATGATGAATTAGTCTGATAGGCAGGCTTTCGGAATTATTTTGGATGTGGCTTCGACAATTTCAATCCTTGAGAATAGTAAAAAAGCATGCATTCTTATGTTTCTATATTTAGGAAACCTTATGGTCCGTCCCTTGGGAATATGATCTGAAAAATTTGATTTCTACTGTATATAATGCCCCGCATAGTAAATGGTGACAATATATACAGTAGAAATCAAATTTTACGTAAGAATGCGCACCTATGACTTGGAAACTTCACTAGGTAATAAGTGAAAGTTCAGAAACAAGAAAGTCACAGTGCAAATGTTTTCTGACGTCAAGCTCTGTTAATGCTGATCGATTTGTTAATTACACTGATGCTGTAATAATGACCCGTAATGACAAAAGCAAAGTCTAAGTGCTCAGTCTTCACTTTCCTTCACGAAAAGTCCGAGTAAAAAAACCTCATTTCAGCAACATTGAGAGTCCGTACAAAGAGGTACACATGATGCCGACAGCTGTACTAACCTGATATTGTGATGTGGGATGTATGATGCACCCTTTTGCCATTATGAAGCCAATGGACTGTAGGCACTGGGTTACCCTGTACTGTGCACTGTAGCCGCAGCTCTCCTCCGTGCTGTACAATGTGGTTTTGCAGTGGTGTGACGATGTGAGGAGGCTCTGAAAGCAGCACAGTTGATAGTGAAAGATCTTCAAACACACAACCTTCCATTTCAAAGCAATACAGCACCTAGTTACCAGAGTCAACTCCAGCTGACAATTTACCTGTAAACTATCTTGATGTAATGGTTCTAGAGGTACATTTCTAAATAGTGAATGCACATGGCGAGAAAATCATAGAGTTTCGAAACGTAGACAAGAATTCTGCTGCAGGACTGCATGAGGTGACTGCACACCGCTGATCTACTCTGCACTTTGGTCACTTATGAAATCAAGGCAGAGGTACACAGAAAGAGTGATGAACTTAATGGACTGATAATGTTTGAATGCATTTTGACTCCACTTGGATTCTGACAGCTAGCTACAGTTATTTGACGAACAAAAGCCTAATGAAATAACAATGCTATTTTCCCATGTCCGAACCACAAACAAAGCAGTTGTGAGAGCACTCATACTTGAAACATTTTTCTTCACGGTATTAATGACGCCGACCTAGATAATAGGCTACTGATTTGTCATAATGTCACTGATACATCAGTGAATCTATTTGTCATGGAAACCAACACAAATGCTGCAAAGCTAAACTAACATTATGTAATTACTCTACAACCACCAGCCAGCTAGGCACTATGCCAAGTTCAAGCTGACTATAAGAAAAAAATACCTTCCGCATCTTCAATCATATCAACTGTGAGAGTTCAACTAATTCTTTGACTTTTTAAAACATCCCTTTGTTTTTAAAAGGTTTTTCATATAAAAGTAATCACTCACCTTGAACTACCAACTTTGTTTTACGTGCGAAGATGATTCCAAGTCGATTGGAAGCCTGGCAGCTATATATGCCGTTGTCTCTTGAATGAACACTAAATATTTCCAGATTGCCTGCATCAGACGCCCGAGAATAATGCAAAAACCATAAAAATAAGCTTGCTAGCACATTTGTGTGTTCTAAATAATGGAGAATAACTCGAAGTTTTTATTGAAATATCAAGTGCTCGCTCATGACACCACCCTCATCAAAACTGGCATTCTCAATTTGAATCTAAAAATCTCACTTTACAAATAATAAAAAAAGGAATGAACAAGAAGGGGAGATATAAAAGAACCACTGCCTTTACCTTTCCTGTGAGGGATCTCGAAAGTCATCTTGAAAAAGCAGGCTTACGCAAATATTTGAATGCTTAGAATATTCAAAAAAATAGTAGGGTATTCAAATTCGCTTCAATTTGAATTTAAATTATTGAAAATTTTGAAATATTCGCAAGGAACGAATAGGTGCATATTAATCTGAATGTACCACTTGTAAAGGTGGTTTCACTGCGGTGTAGGGGTGCTAAACCGTGAAAGCACTTAAAAAAAAAAAGATTTGCTATGCCACGAAGCCCCTCTATAAATTTGAAGAGGCCCTGCAACACTTTTTAGAGCATTGTCAGGAAACTCTGCTGATCGGTAGTCGAGGCTACAGAGGACACGGAAACCAAATGTTATAGCGCAACACACGATGTGCGATTCACAATAAATTCTCAGTCAGCTGAATATTGCTCTCTTCTCTCGGCAAATGAGTCCACAAACTCAGAGAGCACGCTTGACATATTTTTTTCCCCGTGCCAACCCGCTCTGCTTAGCTTCCACCGCTTTGGTTGGGACAAGAAGAGAGAATGCACTTGCAGCGTGCAAGGAATCTTTGCAACTACGCGTGTACTGGACGGATCCTGAAAATTTTTGCAGCAATAAGCTTCTTTAGTGAATCCATTCCATGGCTACTTAAATGTCTGACGGCCCCTTTTCAATGAAAATATTACTCTCAAATAATTTATTTATTAAAATAAATAAAAATATTACTCTCAAGCCAATTCATTTTATTAAGCTTAAGAGCTTGTTATGATGGCTTATATCCTCTAAGTATAATAAATTTTAGAATGTTACGTATTTTAAGGGCTATGACTCGCATCCAGCTGACATTCAAATCGTGCTACTACTCAAAGTTGTTTCAGCTTTCTTTGAATGAAAAAAAAAATATGCTATTTGCATAGAGGCCCTACTTCAGTTAAAAAAAATATTGTGCAGGTTAATTAAGTCATAATATATATGCCCATTTTTATTTATATGTCTTACATACTATTCAAATTTGATTCGACATTATTTGACCAAAATCACTATTCACTTCGAATTCGCTTCGAATCTAAAATTCACTATTTGCACAAGCCTACAGAAAAGTCTTTATTAAAAAACAGTACAGCATAACCATTCACAACATCCACACTATGACATTAGCTCAGATGCCTATTCCTGGCATCTCAAATTCAAATAAATCTTGCCATTATTTAGTTGTTAACAAATTTATCGTCATGATACGCAGAGGTAAGCAGGTCAAGAAAATGCTGTACATTTTCGCTGAACCTAGTATATTATGCTTACCAAGCACAATCCTGTGCCGTGATCTGGGCAAGTGGCCCCCTTCCTTGCTCCAGGTGATGACTGGGGCAGGGTTCCCATTAGCGGCGCATTCTATCGTGACATTGCTTCCAGTCACCACGTTTACGACTTCAGGTGGCACGGATGTGAAGGAAGGCACTTCTTCAGCTGCTGGCTCTGTAAAAAGAGAAAGGGACGGCGCTCATCACTCCTAACCAGAGTTGAAGCAGTGAGCTGTACAGATAATACATGCGGTCGACAAGTTCCTTATCATGCTCGCATTATGTACGAGTCAATTCCATCCAGCCAAACATACATTTACACGAAATAGTGGACACAACCATGCAGAACGTGTTTATGCACATTGGGCATGACTCACAGATTTCTTGTGGTCTACAAGTTTCATCGTAAAGTGAGACACGCACATTATTATCATCACTAAGCTCATGATGGCGAATTTCACAGTGCACGAACATAGGAAACAATGGGACAGAGCGGGAAAAAAAGAGTGTTGACTTCAAACTGGTCTTTATTTTGCACGATGGTAAAGTATATATGTACAGAAAAAGATAAAGACGAGCCAAATAAATGCATCAACAGTCAAACCCCTTTTAAAGGGACTGTAAACAACCTCAGATATTTTTTCAAACATTTCAAATAAACGCACGCATTGTCTGCAGAATGCTGTCGCGATCAACAGTTTTACAAAGGGAAGCGCTATGAGTCGCCGGCGTGCCACAAATTCTACAAAACAATCCCTCTTTCTTTCTGGACCTTTCGGGCCTCCGCCTGACACGCCAAGCCAAATATGCTGCAGTGGTCGAGCAAGAGCCTACGACTTCTGGTCAGTCTGCAAGCAGCTGTCCGCGCTGCTTGTTTGTGTGTGCGTGCATTATGTACGGGGACACGCCGTGCCTCGTACGGGTCCACCTCGTTGGCGATCTTTTGAAGGTGTGCGCATAACATAGGGTCCATACTGGCACGATTACGGCAGACACGGTTCACGAACAAGCGCACAGCTACAACGCAACTGACGGAGTCGACGGCTGGAGTCGCGGCAACTGGAAGTAGACAGTGTTTCAAGCAGCGCGTCAGTGATGATGTATGCATGCCACGCGGGATTGTGAGGGGCAAAAAAGGGGGCGCTCCGCGAGGGGGAAAAGCGGCTTGGGAGAGGACACCAGTGGAGGGGAGCACAGGAGAGAGCGAAAGGAGTGATCGTCGTGGTTTCGATAATCTAACGCGACTAACTTCGCTATTACTGCACCGTTCCCAAAAATTCTCACAGCTCCGTGTTCCTCGTATGCTCGTGCACAATTACCCCACCACACCTGAATTTCAACGTCTAGGTTGGTTTACGGGCCCTTTAACACGTATTCATGATTGTGCTTTAGCCCAACCCGATAATAACGCTCAAATCGTGGCAGAGCAAGGGATGGGATGCTAATGCAGTTGTCGCCTTATTTGAGTATCTTTTCGCATCTATAATCTCCAGTGTTAGCTGGGAGCTATGCCTCACTACTATTGCACTGTTCGAAGCAGGGGATGCAACAGCATTCCCACCAATTGATAGCAAGGTGCCCCTTCACCACATTGTGCGCATAATTTCAGTGCTCACACAGGCAACCGCTTGCATGAGCACATTATATGAAACTACAGCAAACACGAGCATTTTTTTTTCTTCATCTGAATGGAGCTGTTCCCACACGCGCGCACTACTCACACTGAGCGAAGGGCGTTCTTAAATTTTTTGCTGTGCTATCTGTTCAAGCCAAAAAATCACTCAGCAAAATGAATCATAGTAGCTTAACTACCGCACCTCCAAATGCTTGTTTTATAGTGGACAAGCAGAGCGCATCTTTGGTGGGAGCAGTACAAACTGTGCGGACGAATTCAGCTAGTCTTTAATGAGAAAGGGTTAAATACTTGTATTAGATTGAACATCCCAAAATATATCGCCCTAGCAAACACAGTAACGGCAGGCTCACCATGCACTGTGAGGTAGATCTTGTGCAATGCAGTCAGCCGCTTTTTGATCAATGGATTATGGGCTGTACAAAAATAGACGCCAGAGTCCCATATTGTGCTAGATTGTATCTGCAGGTCTCCAGAAGGCATTATGTGGTGTCGGTCTGAAAGAGGAGAGAAATTAGAAGATTCTCGGCAGTGTCACAGGCAAGAAATGCACAATCAGCCGAAAGTTACGCCCTGTGGCAATTCTCCAGCACTTTGCTGACTAGGTAGATAACAGCAATCCTCCAGTGTCAAACTACAACAATTGTTTTAATATTTGGCATAACCTCTATAAACCTGAGAATACTGCCATATCATTAAATCAAGCTGACTGGTAAGTAAGGTCATCTCATATCGCTCAGTAATCAAAGGCAAAGTCTTAGTTTACTCATAAGGAGCACACCTCTCGCTGGGTAGCTCTAATTCATCCACGCCATCACCGGCATAATTCACCCATATGTTACAGGTCACGTGGTAATTCCTAATATGTTTGACGAGCGTCCTGGCTCACAGTGCCTTGCACGATGGTCAATATCTCATTACTTAACAAATATTAACGTAATATTCTTTCCCATGACACATGGGTGTGTAGTTTTTGCAAAGTACATGGGTGTGTAGTTTTTGAAAAGTACGAAGTACTTTTCTACAAAATAGAAATTAAGCAGAAGGGAACTCACCAACAGTTCTATTTACAGACGTCTTATTAAAACGAAATTCTGAAACTGCAGGAGGGTTGCTGTAAGGCAGCCTGCAAGGAACTACGGCGGTGTTGCCAGCAGTGACAGAAACATGAACATCCTCTTGAGGGGCAAAAGGTGTCAGAGCTGTAAAAAATTACAAAACAGGAAAGACATGGAGTGGTGCAGAGTTGCAAAACCCTGCATTATAATTAGCTCTGATGCTGGAAACCGACACGAAAGAGAGAGCACTGGTAAAGCAAATGAACTAAGATTTCAAGAATGTTTGCTGAATTGCAATCTCAAATGGGTAAACAAATAGAAGTGTAGGATACGAATGGCATAGTAGAATGGAACAGAAGTGGTTAAGATCAGCAACCATTTAAACATTGCACAGGGTTTCATTTTAAAGCTTACAAGCACGGCTTACAGTTTTTTTTTTTTTTTTTCAAAAAGAATAGTAAGCTTTACTTGTGCTCTGATTCTTATCAGGCTTCCCTCTTACAGCTGAGCTAGTAAGTGCATAGCAACAAACCTCCAGGCCTTAAACAGTTCTGCTGCTAAATTATTTGATGTTGCTAGATTGTAAAATGAGGCAGTCGCACATTGAACTTAAAATTTTTCAAGGAGACCACTTCATATTGTTACACCGTGGAACTGTGTCCTGTTCTTGACAATATACACGTGACAATATATACCCTGCTTGTTTGTTAATTGCCTTCGGAACAACATTCACTACTCTACAAAATTTTGTTGCAGTTTGCCTTAAAATTACATGAAGTTAGTTAGACACCATACGCTACAACAGTCATAGGATAGTCTTAAATAAGGCGAAACCAATCAATCAGCAGCTAACCTCGAGGAAGATATAACTGGGGAAAAAAAAAAACAATGCTGAGGAAACTAGGCTTGACAGGCTATCTCTTCTGACGCCACCGTTCCGTTTGGGAAGTGGGCCCTCCACGGTTTTTTAATCTTTCAAAGCAATTCCTAGTCGGAGGTAGCTCTCGTCTTAGCCAACCCTCACAACCTGGTCTCCACTCTACTTGTCAGCTCAGTGGCTAGAGATAACCAGCTGCCTAGCACATTCAGATGGGCTGATTTCTCCGGATCCTCTCCTTTACAGATTTTATGAATAGCTTTGAGATTTTCACAAATGCCCCACCGCGGTGGTCTAGTGGCTAAGGTACTCGGCTGCTGACCCGCAGGTCGCGAGATCGAATTCCGGCTGTGGCGGCTACATTTTTGATGGAGGCAAAAATGGTGTAGGCTAGTGTGCTCAGATTTGGGTGCATGTCAATGAATCCCAGGTGGCCGAAACTTCTGGAGCCCTTCACTACGGTCTCTCTCATAATCATATGGTGGTATTGGGGCATTAAACCCCACACATCAATCAAGATTGCCCCACATGCAATGTCCCCTGCTAGCGTTTTTCCTTCCTCCTTAGCTGCAAGGCTTTACAGAAAGGTACTCACTAGCAACAATGGCAGTAGCAGGAGTGCTCATGATAAGGAGCTCCCCCATTTGGGCAGCACACTGGTACGAGTGGCGTGTGTGGTGTCCGGATGCGTTGGCTGGTCTGCCACCAACCAGCACTTGCAAGCGGTGCTTGGACATTTTGACGACATTGGGTGAACCCTCGGCCAACACGGTGCCATTCTCCAGCCATATGATGCCGGCCACTTTGGGTGACACTGAGCAGCGGAAAGAAGCCAGCTCATGGTTCTCCGCGTCGACGAACACCGAGCTTGGCTCCTCGACAAACTTGAGCTCTTGGTCTGCAGCAGATGTGAACGCACAGTAATGAAGCTCAAGAGAATGGGCAAGATGGTCTAGACAGTGCAGCTGCAGACTGGACATACAATTACAATCTATTACAAAATATTAGGCTAGAAGAGAAAACAATGGCAACATAATAGCACTGTGACCTAAACATACGTTTTTCTAGACTAGCTATGCAAAATGCTACAAACAATCCATTTTATTTGCGAGCTCAATGTTTTTGAACATTTGCCCAAACAAAACTTTAGAAAAATAAAGGACACTCATTTCATAGAACACAAATATGTACGGTGCTGTAATAATGAATCATATGTACCATACCAGTTTACTAAAAAAACAAGTATTCATAAACTCTACAACATTAATCACGAAATCACAAAAATTATATCCTCGGAAAGTTTAGCTATATGAAACTTTATGCACTTCATAAGGGGACAAGATTGCATGCATGGAAATGGGAATATGCAGGAGTATACGTAAACGATCTGATGCTGGGTAGTCGACTAAAATGAATTGTGCCGCCTGATATGAAGAGAATAGAGCGCTTTTCAAATGAGTAACTGTTTCACAATATTCTAGTTTTTTGTTTCTTTACAGTCTAGACTCATCAGAAAGCTATGGGTGTGAATACTTCATAGCTACCACTTTAATGAAATGTGATTTTTGGCCAAACATGACACCATAGCTATGAAAGTGCACTCTTGTGGATATGTTTTTTCATATGGCAAGCACAACTATTATGCAGTGAAGAGTGTAAAGGCACAATTAGTAACATGTTATTGAAAACAAACCAAAGTGCAGTTAAAGACATACCTTCTAAAATAAGGGCAACAGTGAGAAGGTGTGTGAACAGGTGTAGATGCACTGCCCAAGTTAAGAACTGGAAGCCCATGATGTTCCTGAAATAAGGACTCCATATTAATTCACGCAAATATGCCAGGTGATAAAGGTCACTTACGATCAAAGAGGCACAATGGAAAATCTTACTGAACAAAAGCATACATTGCAAAACTGAATTTCACAAACAAAAAGTCCAACTGTGTGTCATATTGCAAACTAAAGGCAAGCCCTCGTCCCCGATGGTCAAAGGCTGAATCTCCACTACACCTGTCCTTAAAGAAGGGGGGGGGGGGGGGGGGGGGGGAAAGAAAGAGTAACATGACTTGCAGCACCATCAGATGTATTCATTGTGAGTATATCTCTAAGGAATGTTGCCTTTTATAAATATATTACTTTTCCCCAATCACTCAGAAGTTTATGCATTACGATAAAACTTAATTTTCAGAAAAACGTGATGGTTCACAACAAAAGTGTTGTTCATGCACACAATAGGATTAGAACGAGGGTAAATCGCAGCCATTTCTTTTATTATCAGGTTAGTTATTATCAGGTTAGAACAAGAGGGAAAGGTGAGGTGAGCCAAAAAATCTAGGGGAGATGTTGATTTACCTAAATTAAGGTATGCTTATAATGCTCCACTTTTTGGTTAAATCACTATTAAGCTTGTCATCCAACACACATTCACAACCTCAACTACACCAATATGGACAGTTGGTACCATAGTGATACACATGCATACCATAAAGCACGCAGCTAATCCCCTTTGCAATATGCTCATAGATGTAAAAAAACTTAGTTAATAATGATTAGGCTGAAATATACTGAACATTTATTACTGACACTCACAAATTATCCATACTAATTAAATAAGATGCAGTACATTAATCATGATGTGACAAGAGTGCGACTTACCCATCATTTCAAAACGTGCATAATAAGTTTTCACTTTCACTACAAAGGCGGCTGCACTGATTGCACTCAGAAACATTACAGTCGAACTTCAAATATTCGGCTTGGAGCTTCATAATAGGTACTACAAGAACTCATGGTCTGTTCAGGTGTGACTGCTTTAGTAATTACACGTAGCACTGGTTTACACCAGTTTTTTTCACATACACCTGCAGATGCTTTTCATCCTGGTAGTGGATGACATCACCTTTTTTTTTGTGTGTTGAGTACTGTTAAACAGTGGGAGTAACTCATAAAAAACACCATACTGGTAAATAATTAGAACATTCAAGTACATCAACTTGTTGCCAGTAGAACAAATGGAATTATTTTTACCAAAGAAATAATTTGCATTTCCATACTTGTGTAGGTATACTTTGTAATCCTGAACACGTACTGTTTTCCTTCTCTCATAGTGTGCAACATGCAGCAGCTCACTTGAGATTTTATTCGTCACGAATATTCACTTTCATAACTATGAAACAAATTACTGCCATGGTTATATATCTATAATAACAATATCATTGGGTGCAAGAAAGAACATGACATAAAAATGGGTTACTCATGAGACTAGTGCTACTTTCAAAAGTTGCATTTCACAGATATCACAGAATTATAATGAGTACAAAAAGAATGAGCCTGTCTTAAAGAAGGATTACTGCAATATTTAAATAGGAACTTTTGATTTGCATAGGAAAAAAACTAAAGGTATTTATTTGCCCATCAGCTCTGTGTTAAAGGAAGCATATGTGTGCCTTCACACATATTCGTGGACTATTAAGATGGCTGTTGCATCAAAGCTGTTAACCGTAATTTCTTTTTTATTGCAGCTGTACCATATTTATTCAATGAGCAAAAAAGCAAACTGCAGTTTAATAAAACTTCACAAGTGCATTTCACAATAAAACTTCACAAGTAAAGCACCCAAACAGTAACCGTGCAAAACCAGGATATAATTTAAAGAAAACAGCCTATACAGCCTACAATATTAGGTCGACCATTACTGAGGGCTAATACACTAACCACACATTTCTAGATCACGGACGCATTCTCTGTTTTATTGCATACAGAGGAATTGCCTGGCAATATATGTTTATGAAGTAAGACTGTGGAGAATATTTCAATTAAACACCAACACACACACAAAAAAAGATAAATTAACTCCACACCCTCGGCAGAAATCACTAGTGTATCTGTAACTAAGTGATACAACGCCTGAAGCAACAGACATGTTAGTAACTTTCACAGTAATTTTTTTACAAATTTCACAAGTATATATATACATATAAAAATTACTGTGAAAGTTACTAACATGTCTGTTGCTTCAGGCGTTGTATCAGTTACAGATACACTAGTGATTTCTATATATATATATATATATATATATATATATATATATATATATATATATATATATATATATATATATATATATATATATATACACACACACACATACACACACGAAACAAAGCATCAATGCCATGTAATGTATATTTGTGTGCAGTGATCCTTTAACGCTTGGGCCATGCAACCTCCTCCGTATTTTTTTGTAAGTAAAATTGACGACCAGGTCGAGAATATCTTGATATTTCGCCGTATTTGTTTCGTAACTTGCCTAATTAAAGTATAAGACTGATGAAAGCTCATTACTATTTTGTCTAAATATGTGTAGTCTTCAGCGGCCAATGATAGATTTAGGTACAAAAAGAAACCTAATTCTTGTTTCCCTCTCTCCCTCCTGTCTGCTGCATGCTACAACTTGTCTCGCTACAGCGCGCGTGATTCGCTCATGGGACGTCCTGCGCTGGGAATCGTCAAACTGGACGTGGAAACTGTAAGAAACCAACATCGCGATAACCGAAAGTTTCGATATTCGTTGTGCCTAGCAGCATCCCGGAAGTTGACACCTCGGGAGCCACTTTAACGCCGACTCGAGAAACTTTTGTCTCTGTCCCGTCAACTCTTCCCCGCGCCTCCTCACAGTGTTGATGAACCCTTCGCGTGACAAATCACGTTATTCGATCTCAGCTGCGCAAAGTGGCCGCTGACGCGAAAGGGCGTGCTGCGACCGGCCCTCCTATTAGCGCAACTTTTGAAAAGAAGCGCGGAACAAATTAGAAGACCCCGCTGTGCCGAAGCGGAACGGCACGCGGGCGCTTTGTTTACTTGCGCGACACCAAAGCTGTTCGCGAATGCAGCCCGCAAACAACGCTTTACGCAGCAGCCTATATAACTTGCCTGTTGCGGTGACATTAGGTAGTCCTGCGTCGACCAGTTGGCGATGGCGGAAATCGCTTCACGGCGCGTAGAAAGAGTCGTCCCGCGAAGGGATTGCTCATCTTGAATGACGCTAGCTTCTCGATGCGGCCATCTTTGCCGGCCAGTCACGGGCGAGGGGAAATGACGCGACGGCGGCGGGTTTTCGAGAGAGGATACTTTTGAAGAAGAGAGCCCGAGCAAGAGAAAGGAGGAGGGCGCCCGACAAGAAGAGGGGTTCAGAATTCCAAGGTTACAGAGGGTCAGCTGGCTGCGGCGCGCCTCTCCCACCCAAGTCTCTCCCTTCGCAGTCGCCCATGGTGCATTCCTTCTGGGGAGCCGCCGGAGAGGAAAAAGCAAAACGCGTCTCGTCTGCCGGTCTCTATCAGATCTGCCCGGCAAGCGATGCGCGCTTGCGGCTTTAATGACTCGCAGCCACTTTCCCAGTCGCAGAGACATTGAACGGATGCTCATCTCGTTTCAAACAGCTCCGCAGCGCTGTTGCATGGTTGCCGAAAAGCGCGCGCGGCCGGCGTGGGAATTGCTACGCGCTATCGGCGCTGTTCTATCTCGAACCTGTCGGCTTGCGCCCGACGGATTCGGAGCCGCATACAAATGAGGCGGCGCGCGCGGCGCATTTCCTATTCGCGAACAATTCAGGATTAGACGCGCTCGCAGCTGGGCTAAGCTTCAAATCGGACGGGATGTCTAATTGGCAATTCCGGTGCGTAAAACATGCATGCCTGCACAATGCCGCATAAATGCGCATTTACCATTCCTGACTCATCATCGCTCATCGCGCTTCTGACAAAGGGGTGCGCCCTAACACGACGCGTCTTTAATTTTTTTTTGCGCTGAACAATGTTCATCATGACACATTCCTAGATACCTTTGTGAGTACTTGTGTAAGCACTTGTACGCAGCATATATACAGTGCATGGTCATTAAAGTGAGCCGGATATATTAATTGTCAAAACGTTTAGCTGCAGCACGCCCCCGCTGGGACAAAAGGATGAGAAAATAAACTCATCGAGACGAGTCACGATACAATGAACTTGAATATTTAACGTATTTCTGATTGCTCCGGCGAGCATACATGGGTGGCAGTGTATTAATGGCATCGTCCCAAAACGAACACTTCACAGCAGCTCGAAATTCGTATGAACTCGAGACGGGCGCGGTACCTCCGCGAGGTATGGGCCCGCCCGGAAGTGGCGAGCAAAATGCATTGACCGCTGCCATGTGGCGCCCAATCTGGACGCGTTCCAAGGTTCGCGCTCGTGTCCGTTGAGTGAAGAACGAAATGAGAAATATATAAAATAATGTGGACCCCTCGATCGGCTCTACCGCGCTCAACCTGCAAGTTATCATTGTGGATTCATCGAAGCTCACGCGCAAGGGAAGATAGACCACCCTTGAGGAGGCTTCCCTTCTGCCGCCAGATTGCTTAGGTGCCGCTAAGTGCAATATAAATGGTCCCGCGCAGTTAGCGATTGACTGGCGCACGAGATGGGGCGTTTGATTCCGCACGTGATTCTCTCGCTCCTATGCGTTCGGCAAGTTTTCACAGCACACAGGGCGTCTCATTTTTTTTTTTTAAATAATAATAATGTTTGGGTCTTACGTTCAAAAGCCACAATATGATTACGAGAGACGCAGTAGTGAACGGCTCCGCATATTTCGTCCATCTGGTGTTCTTTAAAGGGCCCGTAAACCACATTCGATAATTTTTCGATAAATTTGAGTAAACCCGCGCATTGTGTGCAAAATGCCGCCGCGATCAACGATTCTAAACGTGACAGCGCTACGAGCCGCCGACGCACCACAAATTAAAAAAAAAAAAGAACGTCCCTCCTTCTCGGGCTTTTTGGGCCTCCGCGTGACGCGCCATGCCATATCTCCATGACGCGCCGAGCCGAATGCGCTGTGATTGGTAGAGCAAAAGCCAACGACTTCCGGTCAGTCTGCAAGAAGCTGTCCGCGCTGCTTATTGTTGTTCATCGTGTTGCCCGCGTGTCTCCGTACGAGTCCATCGCGTTGGGGATCCTTCGAAGGCGTGCGCACAACGCAGGGTCCATACTAGCACGATTACGGCAGGCCGACAAGCACACAGCTAACACAACGACGGCCAGAGTCGCGGCAACCGGAAGTAGGTGGTGTTTCAAGCAGCGCGTTAGCGATGACGTATGCCACGAGAGTTTGGGCGGGGCATGGGAGAGGCTCGGCGAGAGGGCAAGGCGGCGTGGGAGAGGATACCGAGCGGAGGGAAGCGCAGGAGAGAGCGAAAGTTGTGGTTGTCACGGTTTCGATAATCAAACGCGTCTAACTACGTTATTACTGCACCGTTTCGTAAAATTCTCACGGCTCCATGCTCGTCGTACACTCGTGCGCAATGCCTCCCCCCCCCCCCCCCACAACTGAATTTCGACCTCTGGGTGGTTTACGGGCCCTTTAACGTGCACTGACGACACGCAGTACACGGGCCTCTGCTATACCGCCTATAACGAAATGCCACCGGGATCGAACCCGCGACCTCCAGGTCAGCAGCCGAGCACCCTAGCCACTGATACACCATGGCGGACCCATTGTCCGCGCAGAGCGAACAGAAAACTTGATTTTGTTCACCTTTTCTTAATTGTGGCTCATGCCTCTGTGGGGGATTTATATGAAATTTTAAAGTAATGGAGGTTAGAAAGTGCAAACATTACAAATCTTGAATGAAATTGTGGTGTGATTTTTTTTTGAAAAGTATGATGTCAATTCGATTTATTATCTATTATTGAAAAAATATTTTGTACATTAGTTGATTGAGCAGAAAACTACCTTCCTCGTGAAGCTGCACGCGCGCTCTTCTTCTTCCTCTATAGCTTCTGCATTGCTCCCAGAACACGCGCCCCTTGGTGTGGCGTGGGATGCAACAAAACTGATGGACGAGAGCACGAGCACGGAGAGAGAGATCAAAAATGAGAAAAGTAGAGAGAGAGAGAAAGACAGAAAAAAAAGAAATATACAAGGAGAAAAAAAAGACGCAAACAAGTGAAGAAACAAAGAGAGAGAGAAAGAAATGGAAGAAAGCTGGAGAGAGTGAGAAAGACAAGGAAATAAATACAAATGAAGACAAATAACAGATAAAAATAGAGATAAATAAGTATAAACGAGGCAGGCCTACTAGCTTCGCTTCCCAGCTTGCACCACTTGTGTGACCCCGATTTTTGCCTCGTTAAGCCCTGTGTTTGTGTTTGTGTGTGTGTGTGTGTGTGTGTGTGTGTATGTGCAGGGTGTTTCATGAAACTTAATTCATAATAAGAAAAATAGAATAATAACTCGCGGCGTTCATAAAATACCATGTCTTTTTACTGTGGTGGCAGGCATCTCCAAACGACAACACGTAATAATTGAAACAGTAAATAATTAAACAAATTAACTTTTTACTTAGCGGAAACTTGCGGTAAAAAATTTCTGTCCTTCTTGCGACACTGCCACTGCCGGTTTCAAGACTTGGAGAAATCGGCCTCTGGTCATTATTGCGGAGCAATGAAATTCAGCGAAACTCACCGGTCAGAGCTAAACTCCAATAAGCGGAATTAGCAGACGACCAGAATGACGTCACTGTTCGCGACGGCGATTGCTGTGATGTTCTCCTGCATTTGTTATGTATGGGCGCTGCATGTGCTTCAATCGCCAACGGAACCACGAGGCGAAGTCATGCATGGTCGGTACAACGATGCTAGCACATTCTATCTACGCCTCGGGAGCTATTCCTACAGTATCGGCTTCGGCCGCGAAATTTGCCAGCTATCATAACGCGCTGATTATCGCTAGTGGCTGCTTTTGTGAAATCTGAAAGCGGCTTGCTCATCTTGTTACTCGGCTAGTCGCTAACTCGTCATAATGTAAATACTTAATGCAACTTTGTAATTTTTCAAACTCTCACATTCTCACACAGATGCAACAGGCCCTTTACAGGGAGAGCTGCAATTTTTTCCATTTGACTCGACCACCTGTCCTCAGTAATTAAAGTCAATTAACTTAATTTCTTTGATTCTTGTCGTAATTGATGCCGATATTCAGCCTAAGATGCCTGCCACCTCAAAAAAAAGTAACTGTGATAGCAGCGTTCAGATATCACATTTTCCTTATTTTTGATAATTTTCAGCACATTTGATGAAACACACCCACGCACGCAGTGCTGAACCCGCATATATCGAATTCGCCAAAAAACGGCAAGTAGTTCGATGTATCGAATAATTCGATATAAAACTTTTATTAAATTCATTGTCTCTGCGATACAATATTGGGTGCATAAGTTGACTTCACTACACTGCCTTAAGATATTGTAAAAAGACACCTTCCACGGTAATACGTTTTACTGTAGATATTTTTTCATGTTTCATTTTTTTTTTTCGCGTTTTGTAGTTGGAAATGTGGGCTGATATTCAGGGGCGGGTTATAGAAAAAATAATACGTTATGATTAAATACTCAAAGTCTTTATACGCAGCTGTACGTACTCGTCAGGCACGGGAAGCGTCTGTTGGCGCCAATGCCGACCTTGTTTTTCAACGTCGCACCCAGTGGCGAAGGCTGTCTTTTCCCAAGTTAGACTGAATTATCGCCTGCTTTGCGGAGAACAGCAGCAACGGTGACTTTGCGTGACGAGCCGGTGGCGCAAATACAAGAAATCACGGAGGCGGAAGTGGAAGTGGTATTTCCAGTTCACTCCGCACAGCGTCTCCGCACTGTTCTCGCAGAATGATACAGAATCATGCGAGAATATTCGCTTCCGGGGGGAAAATCCAAAGTTTGGGAGAGAAAGCCAGTTTCTTGGGGCGTTTCCCACAGCCTTATTTTCGGTACATGAATTGTGCCAGCTGTTTTTTTTTTATACATGTAGCAGTACATCCTAAGGGGTGATTGAACACATTTTCAGCGTGATCAGAAAACGCTACAGATTGGTAGTTGAGGGTCCCCAGAACACGCGAGCTAAACATTATAACGCAGCGCGTGACTTATAATTTACATTTAATTTTCAAAATCAGCTAGGAATAATTCCCTCTCCTTTCTACACATGACGTCATGTACCCGAATGAGCGCGCCATATACACAATGTACCGGCCATTGGCTGATTTCGCGGACTGCACAGTTACTGAG